TCCCATTGACCTGAATATGTGTTCTCAAGGTACTTTAGTTGTACGGGCCCTGTTTCAAAGATCACTGTTAGCAATGGAAAGGCTCCCACTGTTGGCCTCATTAATATGAATCACGCCAAACACTTCATTCACAGATTTAAAAACGCAGTGCAAAATGAGGCTAATACCGTTTCCCATGCATACATACTTGTCTGTGGTGGTATGTCTGTACTTTCTGCAAGCACACACGTGCATTTTCCTCTGTGAGCATAGTGTAAAATTGGAAAACACACTGTGTAACAGTTCTGTATCTCCCAAGGACTTGAGCCTAAATAGTCGTGGTGCACCAGGGATCTGACGGCAGAATGGTGATATTTGCCTTTAATTTTTTTCCCACCATCTCCATGACGTGAGAGTTCCTTGTCTGTGTAGAAATTTTGTGGCGAGCTTGGCACTGGCACAGGGATCAGAGCAGTCTCCTCGTTCAGCATTCAGAAAATTGTGTCCGCAGGCAGGTATTTTTTGAGTGACTAGGCCTGCATGTATTTTCACAAAAGGATTTGACAGCACTTGAATAAATTCAAGACAGAGAGACCAGTAGATGGAACTGGTGCTAGGCAGAAACACAAGGTAGGGTAGTTTGGAAACGTTGAATACAGAGATGCTTTTCTGGAGCTCTGAGCTTGGACCTCTACAAGTACAAACTTTGTTGTTGCCTTTGCTGTTAATCCATTACTGCCCAAATTAACAAAAGTAAACGACATATGCAATAAATGAGGTCTAGGATCTGTGTTCACATATTTCCTTCCCAAAGTGGCAAAAGTTCAATCATTCAGCAACTTCTTAGAACCCAAACTAGGTGTTTTATTCACAAATGTCTATATATACCATACCTCGTTATCCTGTACTTTCTGCATGTTAAACCTATATGATAGGTCTGAGTTTGGGCTGATGACATCATGGAAGTGTGGTAAAATCTATAACTTCCCTGTAATGTAAAGGAGCAAGATTCATTTTGTATAGGGCATGCATAGTATAAATGATCCCACTGTTTATATTTTGTAGGATTTAAAAATACAGACTACAGTGATAAGGGGTGAAAACTGACAATGTAACTTTTTAAAAAATGTCTTCAATGAGTTTCTACTTCTGCTAGGTAAATAAGTGTCATAAAAAAATAATAAATTTTAAATATTATTGTCCCAGAGCTCATCATTATTTGTCCTGGCAAAGGGAAAGAAAACCCATGGTTATGCATATGCAAGATGTACACTGGCCCAGTACCTTTGAGTACACAAATAAGTAAACAAAGTTTTCACAGACCTATATATGTATATATTTATATATCATGCAACTAACTACTAGTAAATGAAGTAGGAAAAGCACTTTCATTCCTCACCTTCCTTGCTATTTAAAGACAAATATTTTGTATATTTGACGGCACTGTCAATGATAATTTAAGAGTGTCACTGTGTTAAGTGTAAGAGTACTGCTTTTAACCTACTTTCTCTAGACATTTTTCAGCTTATTTAAGTCCATGAGAGTTCTATATGTGAAAGAACATCAGAGAGGTATGAGTAAGATTTTATCATCTAAGCCCTGAAACTCAAAAATTAGTTCAGAGAAATGTAGGTATGCTATAAAGATGACACTAAAGATAAAAAGTGATGTGTTTTTATAGACATAATAATTGCAACAAACAGTTTTTGCAAATGTAGGCAAACTGGAAACAATGAATTGCAGTCATAGCATTGCTCTCATTTCTGGTAGTTTCTCAAACAGAAAACACGAATCCTATCACTACTGATCACACAAACTATGTGCTAAAATAATAGAAGTTTGCTAAATCCCATTTCAATTTCCAAACAGATAATTTTGGACAGGATATTGGACAAACAGTAGATACCTTAGGTACTCAAATACTAAAGCTGGCCTTTTTTGTTTATAATTATTTAACCTCCTAGAATATGATCATCACTTAAGATACAAATCTCAACAGATACGTGCATTTTCATCAGTATGGTATACCATCGACTTTTACAGCAACAGAAAAAGAACGCATGTCTTAGCAGTGTTTATAACAAGCAGAATTAAGGGAGGATATAAAATCTCAAAGTTGTTACACAATTTCTTTGTTATGCAGGAAAAACTCCATAAAACATCCCATTTCAAAATCTGTTTCTTATTAGGCAGTTGCATAAAAAGAAAATAAAAATACCGTGTGATTTACTGATATGCGTTTTGTCCAAATCAGATTAGTTTATCTCTTTTCCCTATCCAAACTTAAGTCCTTTAAAAATGCATAGCTACAGCCCTTTTTTGGTAGGATTTCCAAAACAACTTTCATTTTTGACAGCACCAGAAAAACTAAGCATCAAAATCTAAGCTATAGTGCATACAGTGATGAGATTAAGAAATCAGTTATCCTCAAAAGCAATGGTAACCGATGGGGCTTTCTAACAAAGGCCTGATCCTCCCATTGGTGCTCCCTTCTTGTGCACAATGTTTTCAATGTTTTGAACATAACTCGTCAACACAGGGTCATCCCCTGTAATTCTGTCCTCAGATTTAGATAATGGAAGCGCTTAAATTTCTGTGAAGGCTTAAATCTGCTCTTTTTCAAAGAAGCACATGCTGACTAGACTGTAAAACACTTGTGTTAGAAATCCCCAATAAAGCAGAACTAATTTTATATCACCTGTTCCTTAAGTAACACAAACTTTGATCTATAGAAAGAGATATGTGCACACACAGCAAAAGGCACTGATGTGATCTGTTCTGGGATTAAGTACATGTAGTCCTGCTAGCATAAAGAGGTGAAAAGCACAAGAGGACAGCCATGAGAAGGTCCATGAGGGAGTCCATCTAATTTTTGTGAGGAGACTGAGAAAACCTGGCTCAGTTAGTCCTACAGAATGAATGCTGAGAGAGGATATGACTGCAGTCTATTAATACCTCCCGAGATAAACACCAGGGAGGGAGAAGAGCTATTTCAGTGGAGGACAATGTTGGCAGGAGAACAAATGACTATAAAGTGGCCACGAGTTACACTTATCCTGGAAATTGGAAGATTTCTAATTTGGAGAGGACTGAGGTTCTGGAGCAGCTTCCCACATCAGCAGTAGCAAGGGCAAAATGCTGAAATAACTTCCCAACTAAAACTTGATCAGTTTATGAAGGGAACTGTATGATATGGCTGCCTGTAACTGTAGAAGACCGTGTTTAGTGAGCAAGCAGATGCCTCTCTGTCCTGTGTTCCTTGACTCATTGCTTACTAGCTCATAGGCCAGCCACAGAGTTCACTCTGTAGGAAGTCTTTTTCCTGGTTCACAGAGAAATTGAAGATATTACTAGGGAATTCTTAAAAAAATTACATAGGATGTGCAATTGAAGTAAATTAATCTTGGAACCTTAATTTTTTGGATATCCTGGATTTCTGTGGGTATGCCTTGAATTTTCATTAACTGTTCTTTAACCTCTAATGCCTCAAACTGTAAAATAACCTGTGAAATAAATAATGCACTTCTGCTCCAGCTCTGAGACATTCACTGGGGACTGTCTGTGGGAGCTGCAGCTCGCACGTATTGGTCGTCAGGGGACCTGTTGCATTCATTTGGTTTGTTACGCAGCCCGGCACAGCCCTCTCCCGCAGTACAGAGCTCTGGTTCTCTCTCCCCCATATTTAGTAGCTGTAGTTCTAATCCCCTTGTTAAGTAGCGTGTGTTGTTACGTGGTCCTATCTCTACATTTTGCAGTAACTTGCTAAACTGAGTACACTAAACACAGAAGTAAACAAAACGGAGTATTTTTCATTTCCCGGCAGGCAAACTTTCATAATAGCTTCCTAAGGAAAATTGCCTTACTCAATGTACATTGAAATAATATGACGTTAAAATATTTGCAAGTGCTGCACCCAAGACTGCAAATGTACTTTAATTTCACAGTTTTCGTTAGAATTAATGAAAGATATACAGCTGAAGTCCATGAAAAAAACAGTTTAGTCTATGCATAACAGCAGGGGGAATATACTCAGCTAAAGTTCATCTGACATTAGACTTGGTTTCATGCTGACCCGGCTCAGTTGGCAGATGCTTTTCCACCTGTGTTTTGGCTTATATATGTCTGACATCCTCAACAGCAAATTGACTGGAGTTAATTCTATGCAGATTAATTCTGCTAAAAGTCACACATTTAGAGGGCAGGAGGTTAAAGCCATAGTGAAGTGGATGCCAGGAATGTCCACATCTGTATTTCTAGAATATTGGCAGCACTTTAATTTCCTTGGGACTCTGCATAGAATACTGCTGGAGTTATGAAAGTTTAAGCCAGCAACACGCCTCCATCCAGCTGAAACTTGAGAGGAGGAGAAACCTTGCACACTGTGGCTTGGAGCCCCAGAATAAAAAATTGCAGATTGGTGAGTGGTTTTAGTGCACACTGGTTTATACCTCTTTTCTGAGGAAACAAATATTGCCAGTTTTGCCACTACAAAAAAGTTCTGGGAGTCCAAGGCTGCTCCACGTGCCAAGTACAGCAAACCCCTTCTGTGAGACCAAAGACATTTCACACCAGCTACACTTGGAGCTTGTGTTACTGCAACACGGATTCAAAGTCCCCATCCAGTGTAACGGTTTCTTCTCCTTTAGCATATGTAACTTGTTAGATTTTTATTAATTTGACCATTGCCAAACTGACTATACAGTGTGCTGCTTGAAAAGATATTTTACATAGTCTCTGTGATAGAAAATTACATAGTAGCCATTCCTAAAGTTTCCAAAATCTACTTATCATATCCCTAGATTAGTATCTTTTGTAACTCTTATTAGGCAAATGAAATCGCATATTTTTTCCATCCGCATTGTGATAAAGAATAGATTAAAAGAACATATGGCTACCTTGGCACTCTGTCAAGATACTTCTTCAGTGCTGACTCTGAAGTTTCAGTCAAATTCTGTGTTACTAAATCAAGGAATGGTAAAAATTGTCATGAAGATTTTTCCGGAATATTGTATATTTCTTACCTGCGGGCAGTCTTTGATGTAGTGTCCCTTGTTAAAGCAGAGGTGGCACAGGTAGTTTGGAGGTGGCCTCTTGCTGGGCTTTCTGGCTTCTGAAGAAAGGGATAGGTCGGAGAAATGCTCGGTGAGGGAGCTTAGCCCATCCACAATGTTATTAAGGGAGCCGTAAGGCGATGCGCTCTTGTACAGACTGCTGCTCAGAGCCTGCAAAGAAAAGAAAAAAGTCAGGTGAAAGGCAGTACTGTATTAAGGATTGTTCTGAGACTGATCTGAGTATGGAAACGATAAGAACAGTAGAAAAAACTAGTGATTTTTTTTTTTTTTAAATTAAGAACATGGCTGCGTATTTGAGGAGAGCAATATACAAGCCATTAATGAAGAGGTTTCATGAAGGCAATGCAATGGAGCTGGTCACCTCACTGCTGAGGAAACTATTGAGCTTGCCATGGTTCACTTAGTCCAACCTTTCCACTAGGCAACAATTCCTTTCTTGTTTGATCATACCACATTCATGGTATGGTTAGAATACGCAGGCAAAAAGCTGAAAGAACAACCCACAAAAGGGAATGTTTTGTGTACAGTACTACTTATAGGAGGAATACTTAAGTCAGGGAAAAGAAAACAACACCAAGAAAAATGTAAAAAAATTTTTAATTTCCAATCTAGTTAATGAGACAGTCAACATAGAGTCCCATGTTCAAAAAATAACAAGAAACATTCAGATCTACATCTGTCTTGGATTTGCTAAGGGGAAACCTGCTGTGACTTAAACATTTCCTGATAAACAGTAAATACCTAGGTTTTGTACTTCACTTCAATATGATCTTCACTCTCTCAATCTGCAAATCAAAATCAGGAGCTCCTAATTTGCCATTCGGTAGTTTTAGAACAGCAGGAAACCCATAATCACCTAAATAGCTAATCTCCCTAATGGAGATAACAAGGATTCATTCACTTTAATGTGTTAAGGCTCAAAAGAAGCTGTGTAGTAGGAGTTAAAAAATAAATAATAACTTAAAAAAAAAAAAAAAATTAAACGGTAATGAATAACTATAGAAACAGGGCCAACTATTGACAGTCCACTCCACCCTGAAATGATGGGACACATTTCACAGGGTGTTTCTACATTTGGTCTGATACACATCACAATAATGGGATGGTCATGTCATTCTCCTGGCATCAGAGAATTACTGCTGGCTTATGGGAAAGTGAGGTAAGAAGACATCCGATCTGTGCCTCTGTGGGGACCTTGTTTTTCAGGGTTATTAAATCCACATATTCCAATGGAGTCTTTATATATATGTCATATATGTTTTCATACGTTTATATGTTATATACATATTGAAGACATGCATTGAAATTGATTTAGACTGTTTGTGAAATAAATCCGAAATGGAATTACATTTATCTCAGAGATCTCAAACATCGAGGATGTCTGCACAGTGAGCGCATTTTCTGGGTAAGAGTCACATGCCGAAAGAATCACATGGAAGCTCTGGGCACAATTACCTGGATGAGCCTCAACTATCACTGAATCCCATCCCACTGCAGATGGTGTGTACTGTAAATAAAACTTCAGCCTAAGTGGGAGGCCACCACCATACAGATAATCCCTTTCACCCACCAGCACTGTAGTCAAACTACAAAGCTGGAGGTGTTGCACAGCAGCAGGAGCAGTTCAAGGGGCCACAGAGTAGTCTGATCTCACGGGGGACTTCACACATGTCCTGCCACCGCGACACCCACCACTTTACCCCCAGCACAGCATAATTCTGTGCTGGTGCAAGATGTTGTGGCTGCTGAGAGGAGAATCAGCCACTTTGTTTTCGGGGTTAAACCCATACATTTTAAAAGGAAAAGCTATTTGAAAAGCTAACAAAAAGGTTTTAGCTGCTTTAGTCATCAAGCAACCAAAGATATCTCCAGCAGTCACTGGAATTTATTTTCTAGGATTTATTGGACAATATTGGAATGAGAAATTCTTGGCATCAAATTGTTAAAAGGAAGGGGAAGTGTTATGGATGCCAAAATAGTATTAATTAAGGGTCTTCAAGAAGTTCTTGTCTCCCTAGGAGCCACTTTCTCTTACATACAGTTAGAATAACATAAAATCTTTCTTTTTAAGAGCCTTTCTTGCCAAGAGATTCTTAAAGTACTTCACATGCATTACACCCATCAGTTACTTTGCAAATTCCCTATTATCTGATTTTTATAGAAAGGTGGGTGCATGGACACACAGCATGTATGAAATCCCCAATTCTTTATCCATTGCTGAAATCTGGAACATCCCCTGGGAGTATAGAATATATAATTCCTGCCCATCAGGAGGCTGCTATTTCTGCCCCCAGGGCCAGCCCAATGACAAAAGAAAACATACCTATCTGCTGCCTCCAGTGGGCTTTGAATTGGACATATGGCTCACAGTGGTGACTATTTTCTTTTCCACTTATCCTTTACACTGAGCCATTGCCTCCATTATAAGGGAGCAATTTGGCACCAAGACTGGATATTATGCAATTCACTCCTCCACCAACCCTTCTTGGCACGTTTCAGGTCAATACAGAAACATAAGGGTTGCAATGACCCAATTTTGCCCTCTCTGTCAGTGAACCTTTACAAACTTCTGTTTGTTTCAACCGTGGCAGCCAGAAGCAGTGTCAAAGACTGGGATCCCATCAGACTGCAGGCTGCACTGACACTAAATCATAATCTTAGCAGCCATCAATGGCTCTGTGGCTGAAGCGTGGCACTTAGCTCTGAAAGTGGCCACCTGATTCAGCTGGCAGGGCATTTGTGCCAAAGTTGGACACACCAAAACATCCAGTCTACACATGCCACCATGAAACACTTCCCTATAATCATCTTGAGGTCCAGCGTTAAAAAAGGAAAAGACACAAATATAACATCCCAGAAGATGACGGTGAAGCAGAAGATGGACATTGCTGACATCACCGGTGCTTCAAAGAACAATGAATTCATTAAGGAAAATTCCTAGACGAACCCAAGATGCAGCCCAGTATAATCAGGGAAACCGCTTCAGCAGCTCCTGCCAATCTGACCTGGAAAATGATCTTAAATCAGTTTAACTCTGAGTCAATGTGAAAAACACATCAATCTGGCACTTGAAAGATGCTATAAAGAGCACTAGCACAAACGGTGCTATATCCTGTTGCTAGCTGTGGAAATCTCCAGTTCTTCAGAAGGAGATGAGGAAAAAAGCCACTCCAAAAAGCCGAGTTATATAATAAGGCTGGTGGTGGGAAAGTTCATCCCAGCCCCCGGAATCACAGAGCAAAAGCTCAGGAACATATAATGAATGCAATAAAAGCAAATGGTGATTTAGTCCGTTTTGTCTTTGTAGAAGCAAATTGGCAATTCAGCCCTTACTAAGCGTTTGCACTGCTGCAAAGGGGGTTTTTAAGAAGGGGTTTGAACAAAAATTTTGAATTAGTTTCACACTCAAAGGGGATGTCCAGGGGATGATTGGAGTGACAGGGAGGATGTTGATGGTCTCAGACAGACAACAGTAGAAAGGAAAATAAGAGGGGAAGAGGAAAATGCAATCTGACTCATTCTGGTCTCAAGTGTATCAGTATACATCTGGGAGGTGGCAGGGAGACTGCTCCCCTGATGAATTCCACCAAAAGCAATGACTGCTTGGTGTTCACAGTGTGTCACTAGCAAAGCCAACCTATTTCTTCAAAAAGCAGACAATAAATAATGCCTCTCGAATGGGTCTCATTTTGAGCTGCAACAGGATAGAAAGGATTTAGCAGTGAAAGGGTTAGTGCTCTCGAGAAGCCAAAAGACCACACTGCATGTCCTAATTAAAGGCCAGCTGCAACGAATTCAGGATTTCCTTATCTTGCAGCACACTGGGAGGATGGGAGACCTGGTGGTAAAACTTGGGAACTGGCTTGGTGGGACTTTTGAGCTGATAATGTAAGTTTGTTTGTTTGTTTTTTCTTTCTTCCTATGAAACTTGTTGACTCAGTTGAATGTGAACCGAATTGAAAATCTGATGTTGTACTTTCCAGAGGTAACCTCTCTGCTCAGTATATCTTTAAACTGTGTTTGTTGCTGGTGTTGGGAAGTAAGGCTTCCTTTGTTATTTGTTTGCTAAGTGTTTCCAGTTAAAGGGCACGTGATCGGTAAGGTTGCAGTGTGGTCCTTTGTAAAAGAGGCAGCTATTGTCTTCTATAGCTCAGTTACTCTAATTTCCAGTTGGGTAACATATGTGACTCAAGAGTTCCAGTATCTAACTCACCTCTAAGAAATTCCCTAGTTAAGTGAATAATCTGGCAACTGCTCTTGATTCCCTTGGCTGGTCCCTGCCTTTCAGAGACAGCTTTTGGGACTGATGTGCCAAGAAGTGGATAAGGAAACACTGAAAGAGAATTTATATCTTCAGTTTCTTTTTTAGCAATGGTGTAAAGTTGAAAATAAAGATAATTGTACTGTTAGGAATATGCAATGAAACATTCGAACAAATAGGTGATACATCTTCCAAAATTTCCCACTGCTATGGCTCCTGCTTCAGCTGTAAAGGTGTTTTTTAATGGGGAGCAGAAAGCAGATAGCATCTCAATTACAATATTTAATTTTGCCCAAAGGTGGTATCTTCCTGAGACCAGATAGTTATCTTCCACAACAGCTAATAAACTGATACTAATAAGCAACAGCAACATGTTTACGTGGGAATGCCACCTGCAGTTATTAAGACATATAGGACTTTAAAAGCAAATCTTTTAGGCGTGGAAATGTAGAGGCATATCTAGAAAAATCAGTTTCTGACCTAAGTTCAATTTGTGGCTGCTGGACACTTAAGGCAGTGATAAAGGGGTACAGATCCACCAGTTACCTGAGCTAGAATGACTTGTGCTGGTTGAAAAGGTTTAAAGACTGTATCTAGCCAGTATCTTGGTTTAGTGTTCTTGGGGTCATTTGTTTTGTTTTTTTTAATTAAAAAACTATACTTTGAAAAATAAATAAATAAAAGAAACCGTGCTGGTAGCCCTACACAATATCTCACCAGTTAAAATAGAGGGGAGAAAGAAATAGTTAAACCAGCCAAAATGCAACTTCTTGCCCTCTTTTGAGTCATCTGCTGTTCCAGTGCAAAAGCTAAAGCTGGGTAGGAGAAGCCACGTAATGTTCCCAAGATGTTGGATTCTGTACATGGTACCCCTCATTACAGATGTCGT